TGAAGCCCTCCCAGCTTCTACTCCTAAGGTGAAGTACGGGACAGTGGGACATCTATCGCTACTGTACTCCACAGTCTAGCCGTAAAGAAAATTTCTCTTTTAGCAATCCTCTTTTTAAAAAAGAACAAAGGTATTGATTTTTCTAGCATTTATGAATTTCTTACAGTTAGCTGCAGGAGCACACTTACCGCAAGCGTAACAAGACAACCACCGTCGCTGTTAGCTCTGAGCAGATATCGTACATCAAGCACAGAACTGGCTTCCCAGAACCCACAAGTACTCTGCAAACTTCCACCAACCCCACCTCACGGGTCATAAAATAGAGAGGGAAGGTCAAGATAAGAAGTCAACAGTGATTAAAATATAAAATGGAAATCCAGAAGAAGGGACAGCAAGAGGAAACAAGGCACCCTGGGAGTGAGTGAGGGAGGAGTTTGGGCAGACCTCTGGGGAGGCGGAGTAGGAGGACCCCTTGAGTCCAGCAGTCTGCAGAGTTCTGAGTCCCGGGGGGAGACAGCCACGGAATAGGTGGTCTTTTCTGCCTCAGCACTGCAGCAGGAACAATGGGCAATGCAAGTTGGAGTGGAGCATTTCTGCCTAACATTGCTTAATGGCAATTTCTTCACTCTAAAGTGTATCATGCTATAAACATGGTGCTTAAGGTATTAGTTAACTTAGTCTTTATGAGATTTTCATCAGTGTCAATTTTTTTTTTTTGGTACCAGGGATCGAACTCAGGACCTTGTGCTTACAACACAGGCAGCGGAACCACTGAGCTAAACCCCAGCCCTCATCAGTGTCAATCATATTCTAAAAAAAGCAAATGTAAATATTAGATTCAAGGAGACACACACAGGCATGTGCACAAAACATGTCTTTAAAATCGGTGACGCCTCAGTTAGGAGGGCCAGTACCACAAGGGCTTCAGCTCACAGTATCCTTAGCATAAAGAGCAACTTTGCATTTTAGGAATGAAGTACTAGCTCCCACTATAAAGCTGAAATTTTTAGAAAATGTTGAATGTGCAGAAATATCTGAAATACAAGTTTACTACAAATGGTATATTATTAAGTAGTATTAAATATTGTGTCAATTAAATGTCCTTCATTGTTTGAACTCTCCTTTCAAAGGTTTCGTTTATACTTGATGGAGAAGACAGGCAGAAAGATAGCAGAGAAGGCAACAGATTACTTCCTGTGAATTATTTTCCCTACTATCTGTTGAAAAATTGACAAATTTCCTCCTAACTACATAAAACACAAATGCGTACTCTATCACTTTTGACTTTAAGTTTTTATAGACTACAGGACATTTCTAGTAGAGATCTGAATGTAATGTAAGAAAAGCTTTCTCTAAATTACTGAAGTGTATTAAAGTAAATTTTAGCTGTGTATTCTTTATTATTCCTCACAATACACTTCTTTTCTATTTTCTTCTCATTCGATTTACCAGGTATTTTGAAGTCTTCATCATTCATTATTATTAATGTTAAAACGTCTTTTTTATTAATTCTGAAAATTAAGCAGAGAGAAAATAATTTCCTAGCTGGGGAAGCAATCTTTGAGTGTGTATTGCTAAGCAATCCATTGCTATTCTACACAAGATCAAATGTAGTTGACTTCGGTACTACTGGGAATTATCTTTCAACTCCATGTCTGGTTTTACTTTCCCTTATTCATTGTCTGGGCTGTGATCGACTTCATTTTGGCCTCGGCACCATGTCTGAGGGGGTCTGGTACACACGGTGAGCCCTCGGGAATGGGGCTGCAGGTAAAGAGTAGAGCAGAGGGGCTGTAATTGGGAACAGCTGTACGAGGAGACGAACGTGGATTCAGTGTTACAGTGGTACCTGTCCACCATCAGGTAGATTAATTCCCCTGAGTAGCACATTCCACAGAAGAATCTAAACATTTTGTCCCAACTCTCAGCACTTCCTGGCTTTGCTGACTTGCACTGTGCATTTGCCGGTTCATTAATCAGCTCTCCGGATGTGCCTCCTACCTACCTGGTTTGCTTGGCAAGATTTTCCGATTCATGTGGATGAAAAATGAATCCAAACAAACCACTCAACAGCCACACTAATGCCCAACAACAGGCTTGGGGAAAAAGCAGGATTCTAAGAGTAGTTTTCAGATATTTTTTAAAGTGCACAAAACTTTACAACTTTATAAATTGTTATTTTTTACAAACATGTTACAGTGATGGGAACACAACATGAGATCTCCCTTCTTAACATACTTTAGGAGTGCAGTTAATTATTTTCATACAAGTGCCATGGTATGCAGCAGGCCTTCGGGTTTCTTCATTTTGCATAACTGCAGCTTTATCCCTATTAATTCAGTAACTCTGCAAGTTTCCTTTTCCCCAGCCACTAACAACTGTTATTCCACTCTGATTCTCTGAAAAGGACTGACAGATTCCTCATGTGAGTGGAAACATGTAATGTTTGGTTTTCATGAACAGTGTGATGTTAACTTAGTGTAATGTCTTCAGGCCATCTCCATGTTGTTACATGTTATGGGATTTCCTGCATTTTCAAGGCTGTATAGTATTTCACTGTATGCATAAACCTTTTTTTCTTTATCTCCTTCCCTGTCAATGGACATGTATGTTCTTTTCATCTCAGGACCATTTCAAATAGTGCTGCAATGAATGTAGAAGTGTTCTTAAATATCATGAATTCAATTTTTTCAGATAAATACCGAGAAGAGAGATTAGTGGATCTTATAGAAGTTCTATTTTTAATATTTCAAGGAAGCTCTGTATTGTTTTCCATAGTGACTGTACTGTTTTTCTTCTGTTCTCCATGTGCCAAGGTCTTCCAATTTCCCTACATTTTCTCCACACTTGCCTCTTGTGTTTTGCTAACAGCTACATTGACAAGTGTGCAGTGCTATCTCATTGTTGGTTTGAACTGCATTTCCCTGATGACCAACAGCACTGATGACTGTTTCTCCCTTGTTGGTAATTTGGATGTCTTCCTTGAAGAAATGTCTGATTCATGTTCTTCGCTCATTTTTCAGTCTGGCTATCCATTTTATTGTTTTGTTTTGCTATTGAGTTGCAGGATTTCCTTCAATATTTCGTATCTTAACTCTTTATCATTTTCATGGTTTGCATATGCTTTCTCCCATTCTATAGGCTGCCTTTTGAATCTTGTATTCGTGGAGCTTGTACTCTAGGCTGGAGAGCTAAAGTCCAAGGTTAAACAAGACATGGGCCCATATTATAGGAGCCTGTAATCAAGTGAGCGGCAGAGGAGAGAGCACAGAGAGTGAACAACGGGCCATGCTGGGTCCGTACAGTCTGCTGCGGGGACAGAGGCCAACCGTGCAAACCAGTCTGAAGAGGGACAGAGACACCAAGACTTCCCCAGGCTGTCAGGATCTCTCTGAATGGTCCACAGTGAAGGGAAGTTACTATGTAAGGCAGGGTATGTACATTCTATCTTATCCTGATGTAACTGCACCTTGCTATTACTTTTGACTCTGTTGATTTCCTAGATATGTTTATAGAATCAAGTTAGCCCTTGAAAGTAATCATAATCTATTAATAGCCCAGTGCATTTGCCAACTTCACACACAAAAAAAGAATATCTCCTCTATGCCATTATAATCAACAAATGCTTAAAAAATAACTTAAGTCTTGGATTAAACAGTATGACATTAGAGCATATGTAGTATGCAAAGAGTTCAGTATGAAAAATGATTTGTAAGTAATTTAAAGTTAGATGTGTGTATATGGATTCAATTCTTTATTTTCAAGAGCATGTAAGCTGAAAAGCATCTAAGTGTTTCAAAGCATTTCAAAAAAATTTTTATCAGAACTTTACTCCTTTATGCACAATATTTTTCTGCTAACCATCCAAGTATATCAATTCATAGTTCTCTTTTCAACACATATGAACTAGTCAAGTAATTCATATAGTTTCCTGAAATACAAACCTTAGAACTAGAAATGAGCCACATTCCTCTGAAAAGTGGAAATTCCAAGCAAAAGCAAAGGGAAAACCTAGGTGTGGTGGTGCACACTTTCAAAATCCCATCTACTCAAGAGGCTGAGCCAGGCAAATTGCAAGCTCAAGGCTGCAGCGAAGGCAACATAGTGAGCCTTTGAAATATATATATGAAAGCTAAGCCAACAGGCATCACTGCAGTCTTCTTATAATTTTTGTTTGACTTTTTGAAATATAAGAAAGATTATAATTTCTCAGTTTTTTTTAATAGATCCCTCACAACATAGCAAAGCAGGCTGAGTGAGAATCACTGTCTGATAATAAAATGCGCCGTGAGTCAGAAAATTGAAAGAAGGTGACAATAAGAAACAGAAGTTAAAGTTTTTATGGAAGTGGATACTATCCACAGTACCAGGCCCTCTCGTGTCTCTCTTGCTGCAATACTTGCCTCTTGCTGTAAAGCAAGCAGTGAGTAAACATATTCTAAGCACAATATACTCATCTTCACAGTGTGCATTGCTTACTGAGAGAGCAAGCATTCTTTTAAATATTATATCTACAAAAGATTTGTTGTAAAGTTTTCTTTGAGAGGATTGAAAAGGATTCAGCAACTGAGACACAGTTTTGTTTTGTTTTTTTCTGTTGTAGATTTCTTCCTGCAAACACACAAGACAATCTACATGCAGACTTGTGGTGTATGCAGAAAATTTGAGTAGTACTACATTTATTAAATATTAAATGGCATCTTACCCAAGAAAAACTTAAATTGTTCCTACTTTTCCATTCTCTTCTGATTTCTTTCTTTTTGTAATATTTTCATATTTAGAATTTGTACATAAGAATCAAATAGATCCTAAAAGTCTGAATTATTTTGCTAGTATGTTAGTCAGATGGTGCTTGTGTATCTCATGAAAATATTGTTTATGTGACTTCATATTTGGGACTAGAGTTTTTTACAAAAAATTCTGCCCTCAGCACTACCATCTGCCATCTCTTTAAAAACTACCTAGATATTAAAATGAAGAGGTTGTAACACGGCACTCACTTTTTTGTCTTTATTATATTTGGTAAATATCTCCTGTGCTCTCTCTTCTCCTCCATCCGTGAACAACATGATGATCTTATTGCAGTTGGCTCTGGAAACGTTATACTGTGAAAGAAAAAGAATATTCATAATGACTGGGAAAATAAATCAACATGGGAGGAGCAGACATGGGCTGCAAGTAACAAGTGAAATGCCACGCCCCAGTGAGCGAAGATCTCAAGGCCTCACTTCTTTTGGGTTTTTGATCAAATGTCACCCTGCTGGTGACAGCTTCCTTGACAACGATGCTTTTAATCATAATCTCCTTTTTCAGCTGCATGTTTCTTTAGACCATTCTCTTACTTTAGTACGTCTATACTTTTTTAGAGTCTTCCCCCATAAAACAAAAGATCCATAGAAGTTGGAAATTTTGTCTGTTTCGCTCAGTGTTGTTTCATTGCCACGAAGAGTACTGAGCGAATAGTAATCTCTCATCGATTGATCAGTAAATGGATTTTAAATTAATAAATGTGTAGGTCAACTTTATGCCCTTGTAACTTTGTACCCCAAAGTAGGAGCGTTAAGTAAGGCCATGCATACCTTTTCACATACATATTCAAATGCTCTTCCTCTCTTCCCTTAGTCATCTATTTTATTCACCTTTACATTTGCAAGATGACCAGCTCCCAACTGCTCCCCTAGTGGACAATAACAACGCCCCATTCTCTGTAAATGCTAAACCTATTCCCTCAGTATCATCCTGTCCTCCCTCTGCTGGCCACACATATTCTAATTCTGAAAGACTCAACTCCAGTGATAAGTCCCCTTCAACTTTAAAGTTTCCAAAAAGAATTGTACATAGGAGAACAATGAATTAGTACCCAAAAACTACTCAAATGAACCACTTAAAAAGCTGGACTTTGAGGCAGGATATTATAATCTTAGATTTTTTTCTATTGTGAAATGTATTTCTTTAAATGCTGAGAAAAACAGACCACAGAAATTTGTAAATTGGAGCTTCTTTGAAAAAGTCAACCCTCTAGTTCAGAGTTAGCCAAAAGAAATTAATGTGAGCTTAATATATAATTTTAAATTTTCTAATAGCCATCATAAGGTGAGTAATAAGTATCTATAATTGATTCTAACATTTCATTTAATCTCATTATTACTCAAATTATTATCATTTCAACCTGAAATCAATAGAAAAGTTACTGGGATAATATACATTTATTTCCTTCCATAACAAAGCTCCAAACTTCAGAGTATATTTTATACTTACACCTCATCTCATCTTACACCTTAATTCTATTATTCAACAGCAACATACGATTGTGATTTCATATTGGACAGCATAGTCCTGGCTTTATGTGATTAATCTTTTAAACAATTATTGATTCTACTTTAGTGTTTGAGCTCACTGAAGGTCCATACTCTTACTTTTCAAAGACGGTAAACCCATTTCTTGGAGTAAAAATGAATGAAGACAGCATTTTGTTTGGCATAAGACCCTGGCAGTGAAAGCTGTCCGTGAAGTATCCAGGAAATACGAGCACTGACCGAGCTGTCTCTCACACCCTGGCATGGTTCTCTTCTTTCAAGATAACCCATCTGCAGCTTTGCCTCCACAGAAAGTTGCACATCATGTCATCAAAATATGTTTGGGAAAGGCCCTAAAGGGGTGCTTAATTAAAATTAATTTCTCAGATAATTTAACATTTTATCAACAAAATGGGCAAAATAATGTTCCTAAAGGACGACTGCCTGAGAGCAGTACAGTAAGTAAAGTTTTATTGAAGCAATGGAAATATTATTATTGAATGCAAATGTTAATATAAGGTAACACACTAGGTCTTGGTGATCATTTTACTTTGTGTGTAATATAAGATTATAATAACATTTCCTAAGAAAAACAGATCTTTGAGCATATATCTAATGGGAAAATTCCAGAAATACTTTGTTTTCAGCATTGATTTTCCCTAGAAGTAGGTTTTCCAGGATCCGTGGTGGAGCAACAATAGCACAGCAAGTTTTCCAAGTTGCAATTATGTAAAAACACATCGCCACAGTAATTAACATAACTGGCTTGTAACAAATTGAGAAAAAAAATTGATTGCTTCCATAAAATTAGAATCAGCAGAGTTGGTAATTATTTTAGTGTGGCATTTTGGAATACCGCATGTCTGTCTGCTGTATTCCTGCGTGGCCAAAGCACAGCACGGTATCTAGCAAGTATGCACGCAACACAAATTGCTTTGAAACTGCATCTCGATGTACTTGGTAATATTTCATGTAATTCTGCCTGAAGACAGATGTGAATCTTCATTTACAGGTTAGCATGGGACTTCATGCCTAATTCTGTCTGATACTTGCCTCAGTGACTTCAAAGGCAAATCATGCAAGGACAAACATGAACCACAGAACGGCACGGTATGGTAATGAGAGTCAAAGTATTTGAAAGAAGTGGCGAAGCAGCCCTCCACTTTGCGTTAACCAAACCATGATATTTGGAGAAATTCCTAAATAAAAATATCGAAACTGAAGGGACGTGGAGAAAGCAGAACACAGGAGCCCTAGAGACTGAGAACACATTAAAAGTCATTTACAACTTGGGAGAAGAGAGGGCAGTGGCCAAGGGGAGTTAAGTCTTGTTTTATCAGCAGCTAGCAAGGACCTTGGGGTCACTGTGGCCTCGCTGGTGGGTGAGCCTCTGACACTGCACCCTAAACCAGAGACCCTGAGCCCTGAGCAGGAGCGAAGGAGGTGAGGGAGCTAATGATACTGAGAATCATTACAGTGCCAAGGTGCAGAAAGCTCTGTTACTAACGGAAGAAAAACTTCTATTAAAAATTAAGGTTTATATTCCTTTAATCAAGGGCAAACATATCTCAACCTCATGGTTATTGAAATTTGAATTCTGAAGCTTCAAGCTTTCGAGTTTTGTTACTGAGCAAGCACCTTCATTTCATCAACGGTAATTTCCCCCGGAGATGGCCACGCAGAATGTCTCTGTTCTTCTGTCTCCCTCCTGGCTTGTTGAATGGTGTTGGTTGAATAGTTAAGACCTCAAACTGAACACATCTGAAACTAGTTGTACCCTAACCCTGCCTGGGTCCCCAGCTACCTTGAGCTTCATTGACACTGCATGGTCTTCTATTGGTGTCCTTGGCCTGCTGGCTTCTCTCCCAGCCAGGCTAACTCATTGCAACTTTGTAGACATGCCATGTTTTGTACTTCTCAGAGTTGTCCACTGTTCTTTCCTTCGAAAATGATTTTCCCTCTATCATCTCCCTCCGAGACTGCTCATCATTCACAAGTCCATTTTCAAGGAACTGGCGCCTTTGCAGGCTTCCTTAGGGTCAGCTGTACTCTGAGTACAGAGCCTGTACTCTGTGCTGGGTAGGCAATGGCTCTGACCCAGGAAACACTACTCTGACCCAGGAAACACTACTCTGACCCAGGAAACACTACTCTGACCCAGGAAACACCACCTTAGCATTGTACTGGGATGGCAGTTATGCGTGATGCTGGGCCTTCCTGAGCACAGATGTCTCATTTCTCTCTCTAATTCTTGCCCTAGCACAGCAGGAAATTGAGGGGCACTCCATAAATACTGGCTGTGAAGGAATGGGTGATGCAAACAGTCTAGAATATTCACTCAGGGACCAACAAAGTCAGATTTCCAGTGAAGACCAAATGTAAAGGTTCATTTATTCAGTGATACAGCAGGGATGCCAGGAATTATAGGTTGCCTCTTAAACAGATGTGGCTCGTTAGTCCTTTGTTACAGAAAGAAAGATCATGAATCCATTATGAATCTGCCACTCTGCATCTGCATGTGGCTGGCTGTGGGGCAGGTTCTATGTCCAGTCCTAAGCACAGCTCTGAGGTCCCCACCCTGCTAGCCCCACGGGGACAGGAGGAAGCCAAAGTATGGAGAAGCCCCCTCTCCAAACTGTCATACCAGCTCCTCACGAGAGACAGGAAATTCAGTCATGGCTCCTGCTCTGCAGTAGTTAAAAATGAGACAAAGGACAGGGCAGAGCACTAGTCCTCAGCACAAGAAACACACTGGAACTTGGGGCAGGCAGCAGGCCAGGCCAGTGGTTAACAGAAGCGGAAGTTTGCACAAGTGAGTCTGGGCAGGCCGTGCCGAGGAGTTCCTGCTCCGGGACTTGGCTTTCTGTTTACCTTAGTTTCTACCACTAGGACATTTTTGTTCATTTAGGAAAAATAAACTTAAAGACCTACACTTGCCATTTGAAATGAAAATATTTCTTATCCCCATGTGACGACTGGAAGTACAAGTGTTCAGGTAAGGACTGCAGCGACAGGGGTGAGGAAAAAGCAAGATATTTTATATAGGCCAACTAGTTTGCATGTACTCAAGGTAAATCAAATCATTAACTTACAAATGAGTTTTTCAATTAGAATTTGGAGAAAATGTGGGAATAAAAGGTCTAAAAGAAAATACATACATAAAAGAAAGTACATACTACTTGAAATTTAGATTTAAAAATAAAGAGTTCAAAGATTTTTACTGCCAATGTCCACCTGGTGCAATTGTTTCTAAATAAGTTAAAACCAGTGTGGTTATTGAACCCTCAGAGAGAAGTAGCTATCAGGATATGGAAGTCCAGACACAATAATTCAATAATAAATGAGAGAGACATAATATTGATACTCACATTAAGCAACTGTTCAAAAGCAAAACTGAAGCCTTTCTTGTAATCTGTTATTCCTTTTGCTGTGATGTTATTCACTGCGTCTTTCAACACTTTCTTATTTCTTACATTTGCTTGGACCAGGTGCTGAAAGCAGCTTACATCCTGAGCATTGCTGTTAAACTGCAGACGATAGAAAAAGAAAACATGTAAGCGACCACTAAAATCAACTGCTTGGTCTTCACAGAATTAGTGTGTAGGCAGCTCAAGGCCACAATGCTAGTTTCCCTCCAAAGGGTGCCTGGTGCACGCAAAGTGCCCGGAGGACCAAGGGCGGCTTCGGCTATGCCTCTGTTCCTCCTGTCAAGGTGATCTGCTCACTTCCCACAGCTTGGTTTCCCTGAGAATGTGGGATTTGAGTCACATGAGGCCACTTCCAGGTCTCCAGTGTGGTGAACATGTAACCCCTCCCTGAAAGAATTAAAGACAACAGAATATACTCAAGGTTTGGAAGTGATCTGAGATGCCTGCTGAGGATGCAGGGAGAAGGCAAGCACTTTAGTCACCTCCTCTCAGGAAAGCTTACCTGGGAAGAAAGTTCCTAGAGTGACAAGAATAGATGTTTAGCAATTTTGAAACTTAGTGGTGGAGCAATTCCATGGGGCTAAAACCAGAAAGCATTCTGAGAGAGTCAAGAGTAATGGGTCATCTAGAAATGTCACAGTGCAGGGTACAGGAAAGACACAGGGAAACCTTAGAGAGCAGGTGAAGGCCAGCAGGTCATTACTACGAGGCTATGAGAGGACAGAACGAACTCCAAGGAAACCTGTCCCACACCAAAAACCCCTACAGTTGGGTGAGTATTTCCACAAGGACACGGAAAGTAGGAGTGATGTAATGCTGTCTAGAATCATCCTGTCTTTTATTAATTTGGTAATTGGAGTCCTTTCCTCAGATTACTGAGGCCCAGACCACCACAGATACAAAGGGAGAATGACAGAAAACATGTTTGCTAGAAGGCAGGTGCCTGGCTGGGTAAATGTGGAAGGATATTTTCAGATCGGTAAGATATAATTCAGTGATTTCAATGGGTGGCTCCCACATGCTTACCTGTCATTACGGAGTGCCACATTCTCTTTCCTCTGAAGATCTCCACGCTTCATTTCAAGAACACAGCAAGTTCATCAGTCCAAAAGCAAATATTGACCAGTGGTCAAGAATCAGAACAAATGAAAATATTGTGCTCCAGACAATAAGTGGATTGCTCACGCATGCATGCACTCTCACACATACCCTGCATCTGGAAGCAGACATCTACATGGTTTTCACCTTATGCAAAGTGTAATACAAACCCTAAAATATTATACATGTCCTCTTTGCAGATGCCTTACAAGATGAGCATAATCATTACTCCCATCAGACCCAGGAGGAATCCTAGGCTTAGAGAGGTTGAACAGCGCAGGGGGACAAGGAGTCCTGCAACTCACGAGCAAGGAGCCAGATCCTAACCAGCGCTGACACAGGTCTGTGCCTCCAGCTAGCCCTGTGCTGCTGGTCAGGACAGGCGACGGGTGAAGCTCAGCCTGGAAAGCCCCTCACTGCACTCTGATGCAGTATCAGGCACAGGGTTTCCAGTGTGCACGGCTCAGTTTGGGTCTCTCCTGGGAAACGGCACGGCTGTGACTCCAGAGCAATGCTCCATGAAGAGCGGGAGATGGGCACTGCGGTTCAGCAGGACAGGCACACGGGCCACAGTGTGGGAAGGGGCGGCTGGGCAGGGAACCCAGGAAGGAGATCCAGGTTCTGTCACATAGACAGGACTGATGACATGGGTCAGAGAGAGAGAAGCAGGGCTCGGTCACGTGTGCTCTAGAGGAAATGCTGAAGAGCTGGGGTTTCATTCTCTGTCGAGGGAAGAAAAAACACAAACCTGCGCTGGAAGGCCTTATGCCAAATGCAAGATAATCCAGCCTAGAATTCTAAGCCTTCACCCTGGCTGCCCTGTGGGAAAGAGATCTAAGCTGAGCAAAATTTCAAGGAGAGAGTACTTGGCTGGTGAATGCAGTTGCCCGGCTGAAAATACTAGGTTGTTGGTTGTGGAGATGCTCCGCGGGGAAGGACTCGGGGTCCTTCTGAGAAGCACTAGGACACGGCGGTGGATTCCCCATGCGGATGAGTCACGGGCCTGAGCCTGCTGGCAGGCCGGGTGTGTGACACGGGCCTCAGGGCACACGCAGGACTGGCCGGGTCAGGACACTGGAGCCCTGGGTAAGAGAAGCAGAGTTCACCTGAGGCTGAGATTTCAGAGTGCGAGAGACACGTGGAGATGCCAAGAAACGATCTAATGTGAGGCTCAGAAGAAGCTGTGGGTTAAGATTAAAAAACACCCCCCGCCCCAAAGCAGAGATTCGCTATTGAAATCTGGCTTAAAGACACGAGAGTAACGGCGAGGTAGGATCTGGACACGGAAGACGGAGCTCGGGGGACAGGGAATCTAGAGGCTGGAGCTCTGGGGTGAGGACTGCCGCGGAAGTCTCAGGAGGGAGACAGAAGCCACCCGCTCGCGCGGGCTCGGCGAGACGCTGGGCAGAGCTGCAGGGTGGGACCGAGGAGAGAGGGTGGCCAGGGGGGGTCCCCAAGGCTGAGAGGACTGGTGGGGAAGAGAGCACGGAGGCGTCCGTGCAGAGCGGAGCTGAGGAGCGAGGGAAGGCGGGAGGAAGCTCCGTGGCTGAGGACTTCCGGCCGGAAACGGACCGCGGGCCCGGCAGAGCAGAGGAAGCTGGGCCGGAGGAGGCCATGGGACCACACAAGGCCGGGAGCCAGCGCTGGGACGGGGAGGGCAGCGTCCTGCTCGGGTGCGCAGCTCAAGCCCTTTCCGGGCTGTATTGCGAACACCACTTTCACAGGCTGGATTTGCGAGCATGAATGTGTGTATTGTATTTCTTATTAATATACCATTATTTGATATAATCATTAGGGGGTTTCTGTAAACTCAAAGGTTCAAAACTCATCATCTTCAATCAGAGTGACTACTCCCATTGCCTTAATCTTTGCCTTCTGCTCCTTGATAGCTGGATGCAATCATGCTCCACTTTAAAAATTAAAGAATGTGAGAACTCCTCCTATATTCGTGAGAAAGCAAAGTTTGCCAATTTATTAATAGGAAACATCTGACTTTAGAGAATTATGAGAAATAGTTACAGGAAATGTTATTAACTGATTTGCTTAAACCATGAGTCATGGTGAAGATAAAAGTTAGGCAGCAAATGAACACTGAACACTGAATTGCTATCCCTGAGTCTTTCATTTGGCCTTGGCCTGCTTTTAAAGCAGAACAGTGAAGCATCTCATTAAGTCCCTTAAATATAAATTGATTAAATGTGAATCCGATTCACTAAGTACAAATTCAGTGGTGTATAACAGAAATATTACAATTGTTCTCATAATGCCAGTCATAAATAATGCAGAGTGTGGAATAACTTATGAGGTAGAACTCCCTCTAGCCAATCTTACTCTCCTAGCAAAGGCATGATGAATTTTTAAAGCTTTAAATTAGATAAGAATACATTTCAGATATCTTAGGCTCAATTGCCTTTAGAATGTGTGTGTGTGTGTGTGTGTGTGTGTGTGTGTGTGTATGTGTCTATGTTTATTTTCATGAACTTAAATGGCAGCTTTGGTAACCTGTGTCCTGATATTAAAACCACCTATTAAAAACCTTCAAGCAACAGTATAAGACAGCTTTAGAAAACTTGGAAATTGTGTAAGGTGAGTGAAAAGCTAGACTTCAGGAGCTCTGCTTTTATCTTAAGAAAATGCCTCTTTTGAAAGTGTGTATTTAACATTGCAGAGTCAAAAATGGAAACAAACATCACACTGGATCCTTTGCCAGTCCCAGAAAAGCCAGGCCGCCTCCACCTCTCTCATACAGAACACCTAAGAGTCACCAGCTCACATTTCTTTTTCTGTGTTATTAGCTCACATGCTCAAAAATTTCCCATTCCACCACCATCAGGAATGGCACATAATGAGTATGCTGTGCATATTTACTGAATTCACGTACACATTTTCTCCATAATGCCTTGGATATAGGATGTGAGAAAATTAAACTAGTGCAAAATGTTGATCAATAATCAAGTCATAAACTTATAAGATAGGAAATTGTGTTTTCCTTTTGCCATGTGTTAAATTTGTACGTTCAGAAAAAATTGAATCCATGAAAATAGTCAACTGAAGAGGTGGACAACAACTATCACACATGCTGGCCCATAGTAGATTTTTAAATGATTCGAAACTCCATTACTTAAATAACTTGCAACTCCATTATTTCAAAAGGTATTTAGTAAAAAAACATGAATGTGTTCAGTATTGAAAGTGGAATATGTTGTTAATTAAGGACAAAGATTCAGGTCAACACTCAGGTTTAAGAGCTTTAAATAAAGTTCACTGAAGGACAACCCAAGCAAGCCTCAAATACGAGGCCAGTGCGAAATAGTTTCTAAAATAAACATGATCTGTAAATTTCAATGCCTCCCCTGCAAAAAACCAAAACACCCTTCCTTTTAAATGTCGCATCAAGTACAAGTGTCCAATTAAAAGAGAGTTAAGAGCCACAATCGATTGCTAATTTCCCAAATGAAGTAAGTGGAGCTCTTGCTTTGGTGAAGGCAGTTTCTGTTTTGCTTTGCTGTCCGCTGCCTGGTGAGAAACCCTTGACCCACAGGTCCCTCCATCTGCCGATCACCCTGTCCCCTGAGCCTAGGATGTCCCCCTGAGGGTCCTCTGCCGAGGAACAGGCTCTGGCAGCACACGGCCTCCCAGAGCACACGTCTCCCCTGAGAGGTAAATGGGCTCCTGGGTTTCGCCCCAAAAACTTGAGGAATTAAGGGGAAAAGGGAGCCAGAGTGGTGGCCTGCATGTGGGGCTTTGAGCCCAGCCATCTCTGTCTGCCTGTTAATTCCCTCCCTCCTCTCTCTGGCTCTGTCCCCTTCTCCTCCCGAGCTGAGCTGCTGCAAAGGCGACCTGGTGGTGTAGGCCCTGCAGATGTCCAGTATGAAGCATTGCTTCTGTGGCAAAACCGGGTGCAATTTATAACGCGTTGGTTTTGAAAAAACTACCCAATACCTAAACTATTTCTTAGAACCTCCCCAAAGATCCTCCTTCTAATACATAATAAACATAAT